TTTGCGAGTTGGTGGCGGCTTCTTGGCTATCTCTTTCTGCAGCTTTCTACGGGCTTCTTCAGTTTGAGCCCGTGCCTGCGTTGATAGTGCATGGCGCTTGCGAATGCGCTCCTCCAGTGTCGAACAGTTCCGTTTGACACGGACCCATTCGTTCGTTGGCGGCTTGGAGGAGTCGCCATTCACCGGCCGTTGAGGCTGTTTGCCTCTCCCGTTCTTCAAATCCGCGTTGTAGCGGATTCCGTCGGTGGACTCCATCGCTTTGGCGAATTGTTTGGCCAAGCGTTGGCGTTGCCTTTGGCGGGCTCTCTTTGAGAGAGTCACCGCTCCTTTGGTGACGGAGGAATTGGTTGGAACCAGCTTGATCTGGTTGGAGGTTGGTGGAGCCTCACCCGACGCAACTTTGGCGTCAATCAGGATGAGGTCGTCGTTGGTAGCTTCAACTTCTTCGTACCAACGCACCTTTCTGCTGGAAGAGAACTTGGACTTCTTAGACTTGCGAGGGGAGGTAGATCCGGACGAGGATGAAAGGTACTCCTCGAACTTTTGTTGGTCGAACTCATACTCGACCTCCTCCTCGACCGGGATCGAGATCCGCGGCTGCGACGCAACGATCTCGGCAGCGAGATCGTTGGCTCCCACTGTGGTCGCCAGATTGTTCGCGGGGAAAATCGTTGCTTTCTTCATTAATGATTCCATTGTACACTCTTGTAATAGTCTATCGATTACAAAGATCCGGTCTTTTTATAAGATCCGGTTACAACGAAAATCAAATAAAAATAAACAAAGATTACAACTTTTCTCCTTTTGTGTCGAACGAATCGCGAGCTCCTGTTTTGCGGTCGCTCGCTTGTGTGGGTTCTTTGCCAGCGCCGGGGTTAATCCGTGGACCACCGCGCGATCTAGATCCGGTCGGATCTACGCAGTACAACGGGTATTATTTCACCAAGGAAATAATAGCCGGGGAGGATTGTTTCACCAAGGAAACAATCGTCCAAGTCTCGGGATCTAAGACCAAGCTTAGATCCGGAGTATGCCTGCGTAGATCTGAGATCCGATCCTCTCGAACACCTGCCTTATTTGACGTTGATGATCGCCGAGCACCAGATCTGGATGAGCAAGTCCTTGATGTCCCAAAGTTGAGATCTTTTTTAGATCTGAGTCTCCAATCCTGCAGGGCTTCGCCTCCTCCAAAATCCAACCTTCTCAAATGAACAAGGGGGTGGCCTATTTATAGGCTACCCTCACTGTGCCTTGGGCACAGGGTGGCCGGCCACAAGTGGCTCGGCGGCCACCGAGCCACCTATAGGTGGCTCGGCCACC